TGGATTACTTAAATCTATAGACAATTTGGGGGAGATCTCCTAAATTTTGAATCCATAAATGAGGTATATCTTTCCATTTTATAAATTTTATTTTTAATCTTTTATTAGATTATACACCTAGAAATGCATAGAAATACATTTTTATATATTTTTCTTGTTTTAGCAACCTTGCAAAATTCATTTCATATTTGTAATAATTGATCTCTAGATTATTATGACCAACTTAATTCAAATTTTATTTGCTGGTTTATTTTGATGGGTCATGGATGTTATAGTTTGCTTTTTTGCTTAGTGATTTTTGTGACAACTTGTATTATAGCCATATTTAGCTATGGAACTTTAACGCTTGAAGTTGAACACAAACGGGAAAGCTTCCCTTGTCCCCCTTGCCGGGCTCAGGGCGTGTGACAGGGGGTGTGGCTTCCTTCTTCAGTGCCGGGCTGCTCAAACCTCTAGAGGACCATACAGACGGGCAGGCTGTGGGGCTGCTATCCCACAGCAGGGTCTAGGAGGGTGAATGTTTACAGCTCCTGAAGCCCCAATGGGCGTGTGTTACAGGGTCCTCTTTTAGTTTAGCCGTCCATAGGCGGCTTGTGTTAACCAGCTCAATTAGACCCTCTACCTTGTGGCAAGTACAGAGGGCTTTTCTGTATACCGGGGTTCTTGCGTTGGTGTACCGGAAGAATTGGATCACAGGTGGGCTTGGAGAAAGAGTGCAAGGTTTTTTTTGAGTGGAAGTAGCTCTCAGCAAATGGGGGAGACAGAAGGGAGATGGATTTCCCCTGGAGTCAGGCCACTTGGGCCCGGGCTCTCCTCTGATTGCCCCTGCCAAACTCCACGCCGTTCTGCCTGTTGGTGGCCTGCTGGCGTGCCAGTGCCTGCTGATGTGATCCTCTCCAGGTCCTCATGCGTTCCTCTCGATGATCAGCCGCTTCTGTCTCTGCCTTACTAGGGTCTCCGGTTTTTATAGGCACAAGATGGGGCACGGCAGGCCAGGGTGTTCTTGGGAAATGCCACATTTGTGCAGGAAAACAAAAATGCCTGTCCTCACCTAGGTCCGTGGGGGTAGATCCCTCACTAGGGACCACGCCCTCCTCTACCCAGCACTTCACTTCCCCACTTCGATATCATTTAAAGGGACCATGCTCTTCCCTTCCCAGAGCATCAGTATCAATTACATTTCTCAAATGTGCCCTTACCTTTAAGATCTTCCCTTGGTTTCATTTTGGAATCAAGGCTCTTTGTAGTCCCAGACATCCAATATCCACAATGCTTGGGAGTTAAGCAGTTTGTTCCCAAAACTATACTCCAGACATCGCTGAGACATAATTACTTTCCATCAGCAAGACATACCCACACTCTCATGTTTGCTCCGCTCCAGTGTTGGTCACCAGCTACCTCTCAGAAACCCAGGGTTGTCCCAAGGAAGGATGTTGTAAAATACCCCAATCTAGGTGCTGTTGACCCCATAGATGGCTCTGCAGGTGAGGTAGGTGGCATCAAGGGAAGCTTAGAGAGGCTTAATGACTAGCAGGGGACATTAAAAATCATGAATTATTGAGTTGTGGAAATTTGAATGTTAACCCCTTATCAGATACATGGTTTTTCTTCCATTCTGACGAGATCAGGTGTATTCAGGTTGGTGTGGCCATAGACTATTTTCTTCCATTCTATAGGTTGTCTTCTCATCTCATTGTTTCCTTTGTTGTGTAGAAGCTTTTCAGTTTGATGTAGTCCCAATTGTTTATTTTTGTCTTTTTTTTTTTTTTTTTTATTTTAGACAGTATTTCACTCTGTCACCCAGACTGGAGTGCATGTGATTTCAGCCCACTGCAACCTCAGCCTTCTGGGCTCAAGCAATCCTCCTACCTCCACCTCCCAAGTAAGTGGGACTACCAGTGCATGACACCCTGCCCAGCTAATTTTGGGGGGTATTTTTTTTGTAGAGATGGGTTTTGCCATGTTGCCCAGGCTGGTCTCAAACTCCTATGCTCAAGCAACTCACCCACCTTAGCCTTCCAAAATGCTAGGATTACAGGCATGAGCCATGGCACCAGGTCTATTTTTGCTCTTGTTGCCTGTGCTTTTGGTGTCATATCCTAAAAATCAGGGAACAAATACTCAGTAACAAGGAAACTTCTAGGGATCTATACAGTGCTGTGACTATAGTTAATAGTACAGTATTGTTTACTTGAAATTTGCTAAGAAAGGAGATCTTTGACATTTTGGGCCAGATGAAAAAAAAAATCAGTAGATCTGAAGTGTCCTCATATCACACACACACACACACTGGCAACTGTGTGATGGTAGATGTGTTAACGTGATGTGGTAATCATTTCACAATGTATGTGTGAAATGTACCTATACAACAATTATCAGGTTATACACCTTGAATATGTCATTTTTATTTGTCAATTATACCACAATAAAACTGAAAACTAAATAATTTTCAAATTAAAAATAATATTCATGCTTATGGCTTATGAGTTAATCAGTCCAAGTTTAAAACTCCACTAAGAAAAATTTGTCGAGCCAGGCATGGTGGCTCACACCTGTGAGCCCAAAATCCCAGCACTTTGGGAGGCTGAGGCAGGTGGATCATGAGGTCATGAGGTCAAGGGTTTGAGACCAACCTAACCAACATGGTGAAACCCGGTCTCTACTTTAAAAAATACAAAAATTAGCCAGGCGTGGTGGTGCACACCTGTAATCCCAGCTACTAGGGAGGCTGAGGCAGGAGAATTGCTTGAACCCGGGAGGCAGAGGTTGCGTTAAGCCAAGAGCACACCATTGCACTCCCGCCTGGGCAACAGAGCAAGACTCTGCCTCAAAAAAAAAAAAAAGTCTACTCTAGTGCAAGAACAATTAAATCAGGGTTAGCAAAACACTGATATATAAAAATCCATATTATATTCTGCATTAAGCCAAAACATATGTTTAGCTTCCAGTTTTTCCTGAAGTTTAAACTTAACACTTAAATTCCAACTTATGGTTGCTGCTTTAAAAACATCTCAACAAAATTATGATTAGCTGCTCTTTGGCCCACGCATAGGGTGGTCAGATTTATCATCCATCCTGGACATTTTGAGAGTAAAAGGGGATTCTGTTAATAATTACATATAACCACAGAATAAAGTGGAAGCATCCCAAGCAAACCAGGACTTATGGTCCCTACCAGTGGGTCTACCTACCATTTTAAAACTCCTAAAGTTAACTTATATACTTATAAAGCATACACTTATAATTTATTACTTATATAAAGTTAACTTACTTATATAATGTAACTACTTAAACCATAAGTCACAATTTCTATTCTGCATTTCTTCTTTTCTTCTTTCTGTCCCATATGATCTGCAGAAAACTTTGCATGGTTTTAAAAGGAAAATAGCAATGTCAATTTTACTTAAGTTCAATTTTCAGCAGTGTTTTCTTTCATTTAAACATTTCAGCAACCTACTCAAATGTCTTCAAAGCTTCACAGGGAGGTCTTGTACTCACAGCAAACTCCATTCAGTAATAACTTCCTTACCTAAAATAGACAAAACCAAATTACTTCATAAAATCTGTTTCCGTAAAACAAGCCAAGAACTGCCAGCCCCTTTGGCAGAAGGCTATTAGAATTTTCCGGGTGATTTTAGGCACTGTAACTCCTACAAGGCTCACTGCCTTTTGGGGAGTCTTGGTTGGACCCCAAATGAACCATTTATCTTCAGTCTATATCACCTACATCTACATGATGAGCTGTACAAAAGTCTCACTACTTTGGAGGGTAATTGCCTGCTCATCTGTTTCACCCAACTTAGTCAATGCAGCAACTGAAAAGCTATCTTTGAATTAAAAACTCTAAATATGGGAAATCAAAACAACACTCAAAGGGAACTGTGATGTATCCAAACTTTTTGTCTCTCTCTCCCCACTTCCCCACCTCTCTCTCTCTGTCTACTTACATATGCATTGTTTACAGAAGCATCATTAAAAATCTTGTCTCGGTTGTTTCCTTCTTCTAGAGGCCAAATTCCGACGGTCACTATTTATGCTCCATGGCCAGATTTCTTAGGAAGACACTGTCAAATCACATATTAAACTTTATGAACCAATGAAGTAATTTCTGTGTATTAGGGTTCTCCAAAGGGGTGTGTGTCTGTGTGTGTGTGTGTGTTTGTGTGTGTGTGTGTGTGTGGAGAGAGAGAAAGAGAGAGGTGGGGGTGTGAGGAGACAGAACTGAAGGAAATGGTTCACATAATTCATGTTGCAGTTCAAGTTCAAAGGCAGTCTTGAGGCAGAATTCCTTTGGCTCTGGGATCTCAGTCTTTTTTCTTAAGGCCTTCAACTGATTGGGTGAGGCCCACCCACATTATGGAGGGCAGTCTGCTCAAAGTCTACTGATTTAAATGTTAATCTCAACTATAAAAAAAAAACCAGATTCACAGTAACATCTAGACTAATGTTTGACCAAATATCTGGGCTCCATGGCCTAGCCAAGTTAAGATATAAAATTACATATGCTATCTCCCCCATACTGTAGGGTGAAACTTGGGCCCTAGTCTAAAAATCCCACAACTGGGGACCCATGAGGTGATGCTTCCAACAGAAGCAAGCCCAGGCGCCCAGCCCCTGCAGCGTGGCTTGGCCATTTTACACATGAGAAAACCAAGTCCTAGAGAAAGGCTCACTGAGCTGGTCCCAGGGTCCCAGAGCCAGCAATGGAGTCAGAGTGGAAATCCAGCGTCACTGAGCAGGCGTTCCAAGCTCTTTCTTCCTCAACTCCTCGGTCTCCAGAGCCCCTCAACTGGGAGCTTCTAAAACAACCTTCTTATTTCATGTCCTATTTTGGACGACCAGCCAGCCCCAAGCACGTTCAAACCATAAACTGCAGGGAAAAAATTAACTCATCTGGTGGGTGCTCCTTCCTGTTCCTGCCCCCAACTTTACAACCACCCTCTCACAACACAGAGCTCCTGCGCCCAGCAATCACACACAGACTCATCCTCCGGGGGGCATCTCTTTGAAAAGTGCTTTATTTCAAGAAGATCTAAGTCAGGTGCATTAAAACATATCAAATTGTTACAAAAATGTATGGCTCCCTAATGAGGCCTTGTCAGATTATGTTTAGATGAGTAAACACATCAGTGTGTAAGTTCAAAACCAAACATTGAACCAGGTCATGTACCATTGCGAAAGGCAAGTTATAATTAAGAAAAGAATACTTCACAAGGCTAAAACAATTGGGGAAACCTTCAGAAACACTAGCAATTACACACCAGCAACATCAGCCTGGATACAGGTCTGTGATCTACAGGGAAGACTCCAAAGGTAAACTGAGGCTTTCCTGTCATAGCTCGTGCATCTTGTGCTCAAACACAGTTAAAACGCAAGGGGCACTTAAACCCCACCCCTTGTAATAGGGTGAAGCTTTCTATTACATCTGAACAAAGGGGCGCCACATTCATTTTTATTTTTACGTCTCTAGGAAATCATATTTCATCTCTTCTGACTGAAGCAAGACTTTGTGCTCAACAACTTAAGTGAAAATGTGAAAATGTGTGCTGCTTTATGAGGGACGCTCATGGTGATATCCTGTCTCCCATCTCATTCTCCACGTCATGGTTTGGCCGCTTTAAGACACTGAAATTGCCTCGTCCATGTAGAAGTTTCTCTCTTGACAATGTATCTATGACATTCTTTTTTTTTTTTTTTTTTTTTAATCCTGCCTCAGGTTTATTTGTACAAATAGCACAGGAGGACCCCAGCCCCATGCAGATGGCAGCCCCAGGGGAGTTACACCAGTCCTTCTGTCCTCGCATTGGCAGACAAAGATATCTATTCTGAAGCCTTTGTAGGGGCCTGGGCACCTTTGAGAGCCTGAGCTGGAACTGAAACTGGAGCTGAAGCCTGGGCCTTGGTTTGATCCTTGGCCTTGGCCTTGACCTTGACCTTTGGCCGGCAGAGCCTGAGCCCCTTGGCAATGCGTGCCCGAGCACACTTCCCAAGCTTGGGGTGGGCAATGTAGGCAAGTCGATCGAGCTTGCGGCTGACACCCTTTGGGATCTTGGGCTTAACCTCCTTGGGCTTTACGAGGGCCTTGATGGCCTCAGCTCGTGCACTCATGGCCTTGGCATTGTTGGCCTGCATCTTCTTTAGGCCCTTCTTGTTGTGCTTCTTGGCAAAGCGCATGTTCCTCAGGAACTTGGGGTCCACCCCCTTAAGAGACTCGTATCTTTGTGATCGGGGTTTCTTGATACCATTTCTGTGCCATTTTCGGGACTGGTTGTGTGTGGTGTGGTTCTTGGACTTGGCCATGTCTGCACCCAAGCCGCGGTTCCCCACACATTCTTTGTGCTATAGAGCTTTGACGTAAAATGTAGTTTTTGGTTGATATGGTGGTGGTGCTGGTGTTTTTTTTAAAGATAACTTCCCTTTTCTTAAGAGAGCTTCTTGCCCTTCTGTGGTCACTTTCTTTCTTCACCCTCCCAACTTTGAAATAACCAGTCAACTCCACAGAATTCTTATCGAGATTTTTTTGCATGGAGAACAGATTGGGAGGGGCCATTGTATGCCACCGATATTAGGATAAAATGTCTTTACCTAGAGGTTTCTAGCAGAGAGCACTGTTTCGTTGGTGAGGGAAGAGAGGATGGTGAAAATATTTCTTCTTGAAGCATCAGCATGTCTCAGGCCAAAATCTTGGCGCAAGGCCCTGGCATTTTTCTTGGAGATGGGTGGCTAATATCCTGAAATCCTCTTGCCTCATCTCAACTTCAAGACCAATGTGTGCGTTCTTCACCAACACGTACGGGTAAGACGTCCTTTGTGCCTTTCAGCCTCTCCCCAAGATAACCGCCCACTGCCCCAGCCCCCACCATTTCAGTCATCACCTTCCCTCTCATGTGATCATGGAGAATGTGACCTTGTGCTTAATTCCACCATCCCAGCCAGATGGGCTCAGGTTTTTCCTTCACTTGATCACGTTGTAACATAAGCCCCGGGGAGGGGAAAAAAAAAAAAGCCAGATGCAACTAAACTGCTTTTCACAAATTGGGGGGAAAAAAACCCTATAAATTGGTATTTTGTTCTTTATGCAATTTCAGGTTCCTTGTACACAATTACATAAACTCCCACAAGTCGGTCGAAGAGTTCAAAACTGCAAGACTATGTGATACCAGTGAGAAAATCTGTTCCATGCTGTGGCAAAGCGTCTCTGTTTCAACTGCTGCTATTCCAAAGGATCTTTCCAAAATTTCTCATCAGGTTCTTAGGATGTGAGAAATGACCTCTAAAAAAGGCAGGACAGAATCCAAAAGTGTGGTCTGCATCACGTGGAAGTGTGTTGTGTAAGATGGGATCTCCTCTTTCACTTCCACCTCCTGACCTCCCATCTTTAAAAAGGCTGGTCTGCCTTAATATTGCTCCCTTGGAAAGTGACCTGGCCAACTAAATATGTTGCACTATTTCCATGTTTAACACTGTCATAGTGCTGGTGCAAATCAAAGAGAACTCTTATAAACCAGAAATCGCTGTCCAATAATAGTGGTTAGTAGTTTGCTTTGTGGAAATTCTTCTCGCAAGTCCTCCAAGGAGAATTACTGGAGCCAACTAAGGCTTTGAACATTCAAAATAAAAATTATCAGAAGAGTTCTCCAAATTATTTTCTCAAATGCAAAACTCAGGAAGTGTTTGCATTCACAGAATGGTTCTTTCCCATCTGTAACAAAGGAAGCCTCTCCTGGTGCCCACTCCTTGTCTTCCTACACCAATTCTGTGCAGTTTGCAGAAGCCCTTCTGGGTTTCCACTCTATGCCCCACAGGGCTGGTGCTGCTGACCCTATGGAGGAAGGAGGCTTGCTATAACACCCATGGCAAAATGCCAGGGGCAGCATGCCATCTCTTTGCAGTCTACATTGAGACCACAGCTTTGAGGCTTTCAAAGATGCCATAGGTATGAATAGGGGCAGGAGGGTGCCTGGGGTAGAAACATCTCCACCAAAAAGGTCCACCTTCCTTTGGAGGCACCAACCAGCATCTGTCCTTTCCTCAACTGCCCAGCTCTGCAAACCTTCCTTGGAGAGAAGGTGAGAAGAGATGGGCAGTATCTTACCCCAGCTAGGCTCAGAGATGTCAGAGACGCCCACTCTTAGAAGCTCCTGGTCTTGCTTGATTGATCTCTACAGCCAGGTACCCAGGTCCAAGCATCTGTCTCCCTCCTCAAACTGGATCAGCCACACTGATGCCCCGCTGCCTGGCAAGCTTCCTGATGGGAGTCCCAGAACACAGACTGTTCTTGCCCTTTCCCTGCATTGGGGTTGACTCTAAAGATCACCTAGGTGGCTACTAAGAGAAGCTAAGAAAGAAGCTCCATCTTCCCCATGCACCTTCACCAGGTGGCCTAAAGAGCTTCCCTGAACCCCATAGTCAGTACCAAGATGAGGCTTCATTCTTGGAATGCATTTCCACACACAAGATGAGGGCAACTTGCAAGAACCCAGAGGTTGGAAAGAATAAAGTCTTGACTGCAAACATGGCCCCAGCTTCAAGTGCAGGAAGACCCTTGATGCCGTGAAGATGGGCTGGGTTCAAGGCACCTGTCATTTCTGCAGGTAGCCTCGACACTTCCCTTCAGCCTGAAACTTCCTGGCCACGAGGCCCTGGCCACACTAGCTGGGCAGCACCATGTGCACACCAGTGAGATCTTTGTTTCTTGAGACCTTTCCTTTCACTCAAAGAAGTGCCAGAGAGATGGGTTGACAGCTGGGTACAGAGAAACACACAGGATCCTCTCTGTCTCCTAGAGGTAGCCATGGAGGCAAGGACGGAGGCAGAATCCACTTTTTACAGGTTTCCACGTAGAACATCACACAGGTCTTTGTCATTTAAAACGATCAAAGTTTCCAGTGTAAAAACATGGGGGCTATTGCATCTACCCCCGGATGGTTTATCTTTTTATTTCCATCAGACTGCCCTCAAGATTATGTGGCTGTTATTTTGTTAATTTCCAAGGCTCTCACATTCACTGGTCCTTCCAGGAATACAGGGAGAATTTCTACCAACATATAAACAACCCAAATGGTGAACCTGGAGAACCCTCTTCCCTTTCTAAACACAGGCAGACATGTGGCTTCTCCCTGGCACTTGAGAGGTGAAATCTTTCCTTCAACCTAAAAGCTCCTCAGAACGTGGTTCCTCTGTTTTCTGGCCCATAAGCAGCACATTGGCCAGGCTCATGGCTCTTGTGCTGGTTGCCTGGAATTTAATTACATGTGAAAATATCAGGTAGGCACATGGACACGTACCATGTGTGCACACACATGTACACACACACATTTTGGGTCCTCCTTATAACCAAAATCAAAAGTCCTTATGAGTGGAAAAAAGGAGAACAGGGGTCCAGGGATGGGGGGGCTGTCTGCTGACTTCTACATCCAGCTCCTCGTAGCAAATGGTGGCTTGGCCGCAGCTGGGGAGGTTTGCATCTAAAAGTTTCCATGGAAAGAAAGTGCCCAGCTTCCTGGGGGTCTTATGGCAATGGCGGCTCCTGGGGTGCCCAGATCCCCTCATTCTCGTGGCTCAGATTGTTGCTGGGGTCTCGGCTATCTCCTCTAGCCTCTGCCGAATCATCAGCCGGAGCACAGTGTACCTGGAGACAAGAAACAGGCTCAGGTGGAGAGCAGCCAGCAATGCACACTTCCCTAGGACCTTCCCGGCCACCCACGTAACACCAAGGTCACACCAGGTACCAGTGCAGTCAAGTGCCCTGCTCCTTTGCTTCCATTACTGACCCCTACCCCTCTTTAGCTACTTTGTTGCTTATGTTCATTCCTACAACACAACCAGAGGAAATAAAGAGGCCAAATCCAAATTAGATTATTTTACTATGGGTAGAACATCTGGTCAAAAAAAAAAGGTAAAAAAAAATAACAACAGCAATAACAAGCATTCTACAAATTCAGTGTGTTTGCTTACTATGTCCAAGACTGTATGCATAGTACTTCATATGTACAGTAGCTCATGAACCCTCACCTAGGCTAGATGAGATAAAATTGCTAACAGTTGACCCTCTTGGGGAGTCCCACAAAAATGGCAACTCCATATGGTCCAACCCTATATCAGAACCTGCATTTTGCAGAAGCCATAGCAGCTACTAGGCATGGAGGTCCGTGGCTTGGGGGCAGTTCAGTTTTCCCATGACTTCCCTGAGCTACGGCACTGCAGCTGCAGGAGTGGGCACTGTCATGCAGGATAAAAAGACATATTCCTTATGTCTTTAAACATATTCCTTTAAACTTTAAACTCTTTAAAGTTTAGGACAGAGTTGGCCAGGCACAGTGGCTCACGCCTGTAATCCCAACACTTTGGGAGGCCGAGGCGAGTGGATCACTTGAGGTCAGGAGTTCAAGACCAGCCTGGCCAACATGGCAAAACCCCATCTCTACTAAAAATACAAAAAAAAAAAAAAAAAAAACAGCAGAGATCGTGTTACCACACTCCAGCCTGGATGACAGAGTGAGACTCCATGTCAAAAAAAAAGTTTAGGACATAGTAAGTGTTCAGTAAATGTTATCAGACTAGTTATGGTCATCGATACAGAAAATCCAGCACTGGCTCTATTTTCCAGTGGCAAACATTAATCACTTATTCAACCACATCTATGAAAGGCAATCTCTTTTATGACTACACTTGGCAAATAAATCACAAAATCCTCCCCAAAAAGAAGCTTTGGTTTTCAGTCAAAATGCAATTTCCAGAAGAGAAATGTTACCAAGGGAGGAAGGGGGAGAAGAAAGGATTTTAGAGGTCAGTAGGGCAGGCTACTTCCACTGCTAAGACAGCCTTCCTGAAATCTCAAACCTCCGGGTCTTGGTTAGCACTCTTTGCCCTCACCCCTCAGGCAAGCGGTGATAACACTAGCCCCAGGGACTGCACTACCCCTTGAAGTTACCCCAGACTCTGCCCAAGTCTTTATAAATAGCCCCTCTATCAAACACCCTTCCAAGACCCTCATCGGAGTGAGCATCTATCTCCTGCTGGGAACCTGATCATATACTTCAGAAACCAGGGCACAGTCACCTCCCCTATTTTTGAATCTAGACCCCAGAGAAATTTTAAACCAACACCTTTTCAGAGTCTTTCCATAAGAAGGAGGACAAAAGACACTCTGATGTCCCATCTGATGTCCCAAAATGAGAAGCTGACACAAGAAGTAGAGAGATGAACACATGACACTGTCATGTCCGCACTTGAAATACAGATTTGTCAACGGGCAGCCCTCCCGAAGAAAGCCCAGAGACCCAGGCCCACGCAGCAGCTCAGCACAGGTCCAGGAGAAGTGCACCCCGGGCCCCAGAGGCCACTCGTACTTGCGCATCAGCTTCTTCACTTCCCGATCTTCTTCCTCCTGGAGCTTCTGAATGAAGCTTTTAAGTACCGGCATCTCAAACTTTATATACTGGGCCACCTGGGGAGAAAGAAGCGAGTCTGGGTGCATGCCCTTCCCAGCATCAATTCCTTTCAGGGCTATCCTCATACAAGGCACAAAGCCTTGGGAAGTCTATTTTTTTTTCCCAGAAACCCAGGATTTACTTAAAGGCAGGAGCTAAGTCTCATTCCTCTCCAGGCTGGGAAGGAGTCTGTGACGATCACTTCACTTATGTGACACCATCTCACAACTTCTCATTTTTCATGTAATGCATTCAGTTCATGATGAAGTGACGCCAAACATAGAAAAGCACTTTCTCTTGATACAGGAATGCAGAGAAAGAACTGAATCCATTATGTTTAATAAACCCCTTTGCTCTGCCCTAAGAGAATGGAAGGAACCAGGGTTCAGAATGACAAATTGGGTCTCAAGTTTTAAACAAGCATCCAAATATGAACTTGCTTTGGAGAGGCTGTGGGTGCCTCTGGGGTGAGTTAAAAGTTTAAAAATGGCACCAGGCACGGTGGTTCATGCCTGCACTTTGGGAGGCTGAGGCCAGTGGATCACTTGAGGTCAAGAGTTTAAGACCAGTCTGGCCAACATGGTGAAACCCTGTCTCTACTAAAAATACAAAAATTAGCCAGGCGTGGTGGCACACACCTGTAGTTCCAGCTCCTTGGGAGTCTGAGGCAGGTGCCACTGCACTCCAGCCTGGGCAACAGAGCGAGACTCCATCTCAAAAAAAAACATTAAAAAATGGCTTCCCTTCCCCCACCAGAATCCCCACCCTGCTCTATCAACTCTCTGGCCTGGGAGAAGTATATTTCTCTACCCTATTAATGTTGAGCTCATCCATGTGACTGGCTTTGGCCAATGGAATGTGTGTGGACATGACACACCAAATCTGAGTGGAGGCTTCAAATATGCTTACATGATTTGGCCTGGTTTCTCATGCTCCACCATCTGCCATGAGGAGCACCCCTATGAGCAGTAACTACTGCCCCAAGACCCTGGGGCTCTGGATGAGTCACATAATGGCAGACCTGAACTCAACCCACACTTAGAGTAGACCCATTGCTAACAGACCACAGAATCATGGGCAAAAAAGTAAATGTTTGCTGTTCTAAGCTATTAAGATTTGGAGATGTTTGTTACCATAGCAAAAGCTGACTATTACATGGCTCACTTCTTGTATTTTTTTTTTTTTTTATGACAGGGTCTTGCTGTATCTACCACCCAGGCTGAAGTGCAGTGGTGTCATCACAGGTCACTGCAGCCTAAACCACTTGGGCTCAACTGATCCTCCCACCTCAGCATCCCAAGTAGCTGGGACCACATGCACACACCACCATGCCTGATTTTAAAACTTTTAAAAAGTTTTTTGTAGAGACAGGGTCTCGTTTTGTTGCCTGGACTAGTCTCAAATCCCTGATCTCAAGCAGTCCTCCTGCAGCAACCTCCCAAAGCGTTGGGATTACAGGAGTGAGCCACCACAACCAGCCAACTGCTAACTTCCTAGCATCGCTAAGAGTGTTTGCAGACATTTCTCATCCCTCTCACAGTACCCTAGGAAGGTTCAAGCAATTTATTCCTTCTATGGAAATCACTTTCTGCCTGGGCATTCCTCCAGTAACTCCCACCTTCAACCTGGCTTCAAGAGAACCTGGTACTGAAGAACAGCAGTAAAAGGGAGCATTGGTCAAAAATGTCATTCTATACCCTAGTTGCAGGTGACCCAATCAAATCCCCACCCTCCTGAGGACAGACCACCTGACCCAAGGGGGACTCACATCATAGGTGACTTCCTCCACCTGGTCCTTCTCCATGAGAAACACTTTGGAGACCTGCTCACATGGGCCCTGGAGGATTCGGGCAATCAGCGGGTAATCGGTGGTCTTCAGCTTCTGTTTCTCTGCAATCACACACAACCAGGGGCAGCCCTGAGTTTGGCCTGAGGCCTTTCTCACATTAAGTAGTGGTCAATGCAGGGGTTCAAATGGACCAGGACCTTAGGAGATGCTGCCATATAAGTAAGGAGACTGATTTACAAATGAACTATTCCATAGATGTAAAAAGCAACCTACTCCCACTCCCCGCCCCTCAACAGTACCACCATGCCTCAAACCCCTTGGAGGAATTGGGTTTATCTGTCTCTTGAGAAAATCTAGTTCCTTTTTTAATAGGCAGTTAGGTTTAGGATTTTTTTACTGGCCACATAAGGCAATCCCCGGTGGACTCACACAGCAAGCCCATCAGCCTTGAAAGCAAACAACATTTGGAAGTTTCCAAAACCCAAACAACAAGAAAAGGAGACAGAGGTATTTTTTTAACTTGCTATTTTGAGATAATTAGAAGTTTTAAAGTACACTGTGTCCTTCAGACTTACCACCACTCGTATGGACCACGTACAAGGCAAACTCCTCTGCTGAATTCTCAATCTGAAGCAGGAACAAAAGATACTTATTGAAAGTATCTATTTAAACATCCCAACTTCGAGGCTTTTTCTCTTCTTTAACAATACAAAGCTAAGTATATTTTAGGCTGTTCTGAGGGGAGAGCTATTTATCTACAACTCTCAGAAGTGATGAGAAGATCGAGAAGGCAGATGAGTTTATCAATAATACAGTCATGCGCTTAACCAAGAGGATGCATTCTGAGAAAGCGCATGTTAAGCGCATGACTGATTTCATTGTTGTGCAAACATCACAGAGTGTACTTACACAAACCTGGATGGCAGAGCCTACTACACACCTAAGCCATATGGTACAGCTATTGCTCCTGGGCTACAAACCTGTACAGCATGTTACTAAACTCAATGCCGTAGGCACTTCTAACACTGGGAAGCATTTGTATGTCTAAACATACGTCAACACAGAAAAGGTACAGTAAAAAAATTGATTATAATCTTACGTAAAAAAAATAATAATAATCTTATGGGACCACTGTCGTATATGTGGTGCATCATTGACCAAATGGGTCGTTCTGAGGCACATGACTGGGACAGATAATAGCTGCCATCTATTGCAATATGCCAGGCATAGTTCTACAAGCGTTAAAGGTTTCAACCCATCTAATGCTCCTGACAGCTCCTGACAATACCATAGCGAGGTCCCATTATCCTCATTTTACGATGATGAAGCAGAGGCAGAGGTACGTTAAGTCGCCCGCCCAATTCATCCAACTCACAGGTGCTCAATGGAGATCTAAACCCAGAGCCTGTGCTCTTAGGTTGCTAGGCTACACTGGCTTCCATTAAAAATAAGAATACCTGGTCTCCAAGAGATTGTGGAAAACACAGAGCAACAGGACTTTAAAAGCACTCCTGCACTATAATTTGCACATCTATTTAAGTATCATATTTCATATCTCAAAGTAGGTTTCCCAGCTGTGTCCCAGAAGTCAATCTTTGCACTGAGCCCAAAACCAGTCATCAGGCCCTAGGGTCCTTCTAAAGTAGCCAGTAGCCCATGAAGGATTTGAGGACTGATGTTTCTCAAACTTTGGTAGGCACCGAACCCCCTCCCCTGCAGGTTTGTTAGACGGCGTCCCCGGCCTACCCCTCACAATTTCGGATTCAGTGGGTCTGGGGTGGGGACTGAGAATCTGAATTTCTAACAAGCACCCAGGTGATGCTGATGCTGTGGACCTTGTCTTGGATCATGAGAATCTAAAGAACCCAAGCCCTTTGCCCAGCATCCTGCAAACCATACCATTCCCATAACTCCCCGCACAACCACTCTAGGGGTCCCAAGGCACATCTGTGACCCTATCTGTGGCCAGCCAACAAAGGGAACTTGCCTTAAATTTGTTGAGCAGAAGCTTCAGGACCTGTGGGGTGGTCATGGTGCTATTGATGCGGACGTTGGTGACAGAGCCATAGGCTGGAGTGAACACGGATGTCTGTCAATAGAAGGGGCCAGCTCAGGGTGGGAGTGGGAACAAGGACCCAGTGCTAAAATCCAGGTGCGGTACAGGGCACAGTGACGATACTCACAGTGTACCCCCTGGAGCCCTCGGCAGCCTGGCAAGCAGCAGGCTTTACAGACAAAGCAGCCCTCCGGGTTTGCATAATTCAGTTCATGCTCTACACTCACAAAGACCCTTCCTCTGGGACTTCAGCACAAGGCTGTCTCTGACTATTCTCCCACCATGCACTTCCCTCCAGGGGTAGGATTTGAACAGAGCAGGAGGAAAGGAGGGGTCAGCTAGCTCGGGCAGGGTTGGTGGTGCACTGACACCCCCAGGACTGAGACCTGCAGCTCTGTTTCGGAAGCAGCCCTGAGCTCCAGGAAAAGCCAGACCATACACCAACTAGGGGCACAGTGTGCAGGAAGAGGGTGTAACATGGATTTTCTTGGGAGGGACTGAGAAGCTGTGTTTATGGGATCTTCAAGGATACGGCAGGGACTGCTTTGTATAACCCCACTGAATTCACCCACCACCCTAGGGGGGAACCCACAGGGGGACTCTGAGCCTTCTGACCTGGGGTCCCTCCACCCTCAGGAGCCAGCAGGGCTTGCAGCCCACCCACAACCCAAAGACTAAACAGCAGCACACACTTGGCTTCCCAGGCATGGCCATGGCTGTAGCCCTGAGGTGGCAGCTGCCCAGGAAGGGGTCCTCCCCCTCCCTGTCCCCCCATCCACTTTACCTTATGGTTGTAGAAATGGCCATTGATGGAGAAGCGATGGCGTCTGATTCGCCGCTGGTCACTAGGCGTCCTCACATTGCCACGGCGACGCACCCCAACATCACTGCGTGTGCGCATCAGCTGTGGGGTGTCCTCCTGCAGGGGCTTCAGGCCCCTGGAGTCTGAAAAGTAGAGGCAAATGAGCTGTCTGTCTGGACCTGGGACATGGCACATGGTCCTCTCTTTGTGGCCAGTGCTACAGCACGCACTGTCTCCAAAAACATGTATTTTATACAAATAGTATTCTCTGCTGGGAGAAGACATAATGCAGCATTTACTGAGAATCTACACAGTGAAAAGTTCAGAAAACACTTCAGACCCGAACTCCCTGGGTTCAAATCCCAGCTCCATGATTGCCATATATCACTAACCTGTCCGGGCCTCAGTATTTTTATATATAAAATGGGGATAATAATAATATCCATCAGAGGAATGAGTTGATACACATAAAGTGCTTAGGCTAGTGCCTGGCACAGGATAAGCAGGATATAAGGGCTAACGAGATACTGCAAATGAACTCTGACACATGCTACACAGGGATGAACCTTGAGGACCTTATGCTCAGTGCAACAAGTCAATTACAAAATAGCGAATACTGAATGATTCCCGCTGTATGAGGTACTTAGAGTGCACCTCACATAAGTGTACTTCATATAACCGAGGTACACTCTTAGTACATTCTAGGTACATTCAAAATTACAGAGACAGAGAGTAGAATGGTGGTTGCCAGAGGCTAGAGGGAAAGGATATGGGGAGCTATTGGGAGTTTAACGGGTACAGTGTTTCAGTTTCACAAGATGGGAAGAGCTGTGGAGATGGATGGTGGTCATGCTTTGCATTATGAGTATATTTCACACCACCGAACTGTACATTCGAAATGGTTAAGATGGTAAATGTTATGTAGATCTTACCACAATAAAAAAATTAGAAAAAATAATGCTTAATAGAGCATACATATAAAAATACATGGTGTTCCCATGGCATATTTCTATCTTGTATGTATATAAATATAAAATATTGACATTAATCATAAGCAGGTTAATCTTATTAAAATATATTTAATCCATGTTATCTATAAAAGATTTTGCAAACTGACAATATCCATGAAAATTTAAACCCAGAAATTCCACTTGAAAGAATCATATGTGCTGACGAATGTGTGACGTGACACATGTGTAAGGCTACCGACTGCAAACTTGTCAGAGCAGAGACTGAAAATGACTTAACTGTCTACCAAAAAGGAGTGATGACATACATTATCCTTTTTCCATACAATGAAATAATGTAGAGCTGTAAAGAATAAGGAAGTTCTTTATAAATTTGTAAGGAAAAGTTCTCCAGATAAACCGATCAATGAAAGCAAATGTGCAAAATGCTACCACCTGCAGAAATAGGGAAAGAAAAGAGACTACTTCTGACCAGGCACAGTGGCTCATGCCTATAATCCCAGCACTTTGGGAGGCTGAGGTGGGCAGAGCACTTGAGGCCAGGAGTTCAAGACCAGCCTGGCCAACACAGCAAAACCCTGTCACCACTAAAAATACAAAACTTACCTGGGCTTGGTGCACATGCCTTTACTCCTAGCTCCTCAGGAGGCTGAAGAGGGGAGATCACTTGAACCCAGGAGGCACAGAGCCAAGATTCATGAAGGAAGGAAGGTAGAAAGGAAGGAGGAAGGGAGGGAGAGAGGAAAGGAGGGAGGGAGGGAGAGAAGGAAAGGACAGAAGGGGAAGGAGGGAGAGAGAGAGGGAAGGAGGGAGGGAGGGAGGGAGGGAGAGAAGGAAAGGACAGAAGGGGAAGGAGGGAGGGAGGATGGGAAGGAAAGGAGGAAAGAAATGGAAGGAGGGAGGGAGGGCAGAAAAACTACATCCGCCCATAAAGGTATGTCGATGTGTTTTGCCTGTATTTGGATAGACTATCTGAGGAAGGATGTTCTTGGGATGCTTCTAGGTAGGTGGATGAGGTGGGTGACTTCATTCTCTCCCTTTGAATCTTGAACCATACACATTTTATATTCTCAAAAATAATTAACAGTTTATACCATGTACCACAGCGGTCTTCACATGGTTGGTCCCTAGCTGGAAGCACCTTCCCCCACACATGTACCTGTGGGGCTTGGCATCTGGTCACCCTCCGGAGGCGCATCCACCTCTGAGATCTGAACATTGGGCACAGTCAGGGGCTTCAGGATGGTTCTGGGGGTGGAGAAGACAAAGGGGAGAGGAGAGACAAGTTTAACCCCTGTGGAGAGATGCCCCCACACCTGCTGGAGAACCCCACTCCTGCAAGGGGAGAACTTTGCTATGCCAGGCTGGGTACTGGCACACATCAGGTGATGAAGGGTGCAGATGGGCTACGCCGAGCATCCCATGAGGCTAGCCCAGCTCCTAGGCCAAGCGGTGGGTGGAGAGGGGGCAGTTCTGGAGGGAGAAGATGTTCTTTTCCAGCAGCTGCAGCAACACAAGCATCCACTTCATCAAGCCCAGGATAGAGGATACCAAAGAACAAAACCCATGTGCTGCCTGCACTGCTTCTAAGCTTGTATGGGTTCTGTGGCTTATTTGGAAAACTCCAATAATAGCCATTTGTTTTGCAGGGCGATTCCCGTTCAGACTCACTGCTGTTGAAGAAATAACTCATAATTGCTTCTGCCATTGAAAAGGAATGGAGAATAATAGGTTGACCACTACAAGGGCCAGGACAGCTTTGGAAGGGGCACTGACAGTGCTCTCAGGGTTGCAAGGACGGAGTCCTCATCTAAGCTGAAGAAAGGGTTACGAGGAGGCAGTCCAAGCTGAGACCCTGGTTTGCCATCATAACTGGCAAATAATTTCTTGAAGCCAAAAAGGACAAAGAGAGCCGCTCAGAAAAACATTCAAAATCAACAGAGGATTTGGCTGGAAAGGAGAATCATATTTGACCAATGAGGACCAACGCATGGTGAGAAGAGCATGGGCTCCCTGGGGCCCAGCAGAGACAAACTTCATGTTCTAGGTAGGATAGTTTTAAGGGAGGACAATTAAAATGGAAAATCTGAAAGAACTTCCTATTGTAATTTAACTCATATACTTCTGAGCCACAAGATGAACCTGGCCAGAGCCTCTGGGGAATGGTGAACCCTTGGCAGCCAGAGCAGCCAGTCCCCACTCCCTGATTTAAAGCCCTCATTCTTGCTGAAGCAGGAACTGGTCTCAGTATCCTTCACTTTTTTTTTTTTTTTTTTGGCAGGGGTCAGGGGGCAGAGTCTCTGTCACCCAAGCTGGAGTGCAGTGGCGTGATCTTGGCTCACTGCAATCTCTGCCTCCCAGATTCCAGTGATTCTCCTGCCTCAGCCTCCTAAATAGCTGAGATTACAGCCATGCACTGTGCCCAGCTTATTTTTATTTATTTATTTATTCACTTTGTAGAGTCAAAGTTTTCACCATGTTGCCCAGGCTGTTCTCAAAACTCCTGAGCTCAAGTGATCTGCCCACCTCAGCCTCTCAAAGTGCTAGGGTTATAGGTGTGATCCTCAAAGTGCTAGGGTTATAGGTGTGATCCTCAAAGTGCTAGGGTTATAGGTGTGATCCTCAAAGTGCTAGGGTTATAGGTGTGATCCACCATGCCCAGCCTCAGGGTCCTGCTATACACAGTAGTCTAGGCATTCAGTTTATTATAGCTGACATCTAAAGGACATCATTTACCAGTCCTGAAAATTCTACCAAAGTATTTTGCAGGTTGCAAGAGTCAACCAAGACGAGCCTGATACCACAGGGAAGGGAGAAGAAGCAGGCGGAGTGAGGGAGCCCTTGGCAGCCCAAACCAAAGGCGGCAGGGCCAAATGAAATCTTCAAAGTCATCTCACTTAGGGAATAGAATATAAGTGTGAGGTCAGGGTCAGGCTGTGAAATGGACTTGGCCATTGGAAATCAAACACAGCCATAACGTTGGGCGTGGTGGCTCACAGCAATAATCCCAGCACTTTGGGAGGTCACGATGGGAGGACTGTCTGAGGCCAAGAGTTTGAGACCAACCTGGGCAACATAGTGAGACCCCATCTCTACAAAAAATACAAAAATTAGCCAGGTAGGGCTGGGTGTGATGGCTCACATCTGTGGTCCCAGAACTTTGGGAGGTCAAGGTGGGTGGACAGCTTGAGGTCAGGAGTTTGAGACTAGCCTGGCCAACATGGTCTCTACCAAACCCCCTCTCTACCAAAAAATACAAAAATCGGCTGGGTGTGGTGGTGGGCACCTGTAATCCCAGCTACTCAGAGAATCCCTTGAACCAAGAGGCAGAGGTTGCAATGAGCCGAGATCACACCACTGAAATCCAGCCTGAGCAACAGAAAAAAAAAGACAGAGGGTGTGCACCTGTAGTCCCAGTTGCTGGGGAGCCTGAGGTGAGGGAATCGCTTGAGCCTGGGAGGTTGAGGCTGTAGTAAGCTGTGAATATGCCACCGAACTCCAGCCTGGGAAACAGAGTAAGACCTTGTCTCAACCAAAACAAAACAAAAACACAGTGATAGTGCTGAAAGCAAAGCAGAGCATGAAACCAGCAAAGTTAGATGAAGCCAAAGAACCTGGGGGTATAGCTCAGTGGTAGAGCATCTGACTGCAAGAACAAGGAACCTGAACCAGACACCTAGCGCCTATGGGGTGGGCAACAATTTTCCTCCTTAACTCCCCTTGGAAAGAAACCAGACCAGCTCCAGGGTTTGGCCACATAGTAGGGTTCTCTCAATTGTAGAGAAACGTAGATTTGGCCACGGAGTTTAGCAAAGTGTTCAATGTGGCCAACAGAGATGGTTTGGTTCTCATTTAAACCAGAAAAATAAAGGTCACTGTGGTTTTGGCTGAGAGGCAAGCATACTCCACCCAGGCTGGGGCCGGAGGCAGTCAGCATCGGCAGGTTTCAGGATGGAGCCAGGTTAGTCACTTGATCCTAAAACTCAAGTCCCAGAAAGACAATAAAGAAGGCATTCAGCAGCACATTCGGTGGCTTACTCAGCCATGGAGGATAACAACGGACAGCATAGGTCTTCCCGGCGCTTCTGGTGGGGACTTGGACTACCCACCATCATACCACACCCTGGCTCCCCATGTGGTCTGCAGGGAGCACACCCCTGGCTGATGTCACTTGGCTGACTCTGACAGAGCCTGACATTCCTTTTCCTCTTCCAGTTTCCCCCAAGATTCAGAGAGTTTTGGTCAGAAGTTTCAAGTCATAAATGCTTTGGAGCAGGGCCATTCTATGAGGAATGGTCCCAGTGCGGAGGATGCTGGGGCATGTGGTGCCCTGTTAGAAATCTGCAAGCTGGGCCTCACTAGCCACCAGCAACTCTGCTGAGAGCTCTCCCTGAGGGAGGACTCTGTGACTCAACAGCTCCCTCCTATGACTCAGCGGCTCCCCTCCTGTGACCTCATCAGTGATTGTGGTGACAGGAAGGGGGCCCAATCACAACCACATCTGCCCCTTGTTCCTCATTCCAAGCCCAAGACAGGTGGAGAGTAAAGGTGGTAGGAGGAGGAGCCAGGATCAGGGCTGGATAGAAGAAGTCAGCTTTATCTGCTTGAGACACATAGAATCCCCAGGCATCCTGGTCATCTCCCGTCCCCATCTCTCCTCACTCACCCCTGAGCCCCCAGGTTACAGCCAGAGTGCCAGGAGGAAGAGGACGGAGGGGGCCGAATGCGCTCGTTGTCATCCTGCATCTGCAAGCGGATGGGCCGGCGTAGGCCCCAGGAGATGTTCAGGAGCCCCTCCACGATGAACTCATCTTCTTCCTGCCCACAAAGCAATTGGAGTGGTGAGCCCAGAAAAGCCCCCACCGAAGCCAAGACTGTGCTGAAGGACAAATGACACATTCTTCATATGTCCTAGCTGGGTGCCCCCAGTTTGTATTCACAGGATGGGGGAAGCTGCCCAGTTCACACCCCAGCTCTGAAACACCTTTCCCCAGCCCTGAAGCTGACCTCACAGATCAGCACAAAAGTTGCGGTGAAATTCAAATACATATGTGCAAATTATAAAAGCATTGTTTTTCTTTTTATCCTAATGACTTTTAAAGAAAGCAGAATACATGTCTTAAAAGAAGTGAGACTGGCCTTGCTAACAGAAGCGAGAACTGAATGCTTGCGTTAGCTACATCCCGTCCCCTACTACGGAAAACGATGTTTTGAGCTTTAAGTGTTTAGCAATCCAACCCAGTGGTTGAAGGAAACTTAAAGCAACACTTCCTGAAGTTTATTCAACAGAACACAAGCTCCTCTAACAGATGAACTGTTGTCTTTAAGAGGGTGTCGAGTGATCACGAGCTGGGAGAGGCTGTGCTAATCAGATTTCCTAACAGCAGACCGTCCCAGGTTCTGTAATAAACTAACGGGCTACATGACAACTTTCCAGCAGGTGAATAAATTTTGCAGGAGTCCCTAATTCATACTCAAAGGTTGCTGACTAATTAGAAGTTAAATGTAAAACCATTCTAAGGCCATTTATAAGTTCTATCGCAAAGAATTGGGACTCACGACTATGAAATCCTTTACTCATGGAGCACTTCTGATCATTTATTCTATAGGACACACCCCAGGAAAGCTATTTAAGAACGAAAATCTTGCATAGCCCTGCTACTGATTAGTAAAAGCTTGGAGGGAAATCCCTAAACGAATCAGCTCTCCTCTCCCTAGTCTCAGAAAAACCTTTCTCAACCCATGTTTTATGGGCTGAACTAGTGTCAGTTCTGGGTCATGGCCACATCTTCAGGACAAGCCCCATACATGAAAATGACATCAGCCCAATGAGCAACTCACTTGGGCCCCAAAATCATCCTCCAAGAGGGAGGAAGGAATAAAAGAGGGCAGGAGAGACATGAAACCATTTTAGGGCACTTAGGAGTCTTGGGGAGAAAAGCTTCATGTAAACACAGGCGATTTACACGGCCTTCCCCCGGTCAAGTTGGGCATCATTAGTTTACATAATTGTAGGTCAAAATTTAACCCAAAACAGGATTTTTGTCTAAGTGGAGTGGTTTGAAGGACACGGAATAGGCCACTACATCCTAGGTACTGTCCCCAAGCAACCTGCCCTAGCAGCTGAAATTCTACCATCTGTTATCTCTATCTATGGATTAAATCGACACAGCTTGATAACCTGAAAATGTGTTTCAAAGGGCATTACACATATGGACCTTTCTATCAGTCAAGAGTGCTTGAGTATAAAGTGCTCCATCAGACTCCTTCATAACTCATCATCTATCTGATAACAGCCTGCAGAGAAATGGATACGGGAAGAGTAAGCTCGGTTTCGGGATGCAGGCCAGATGAGTGACAAAGGCAACCTAGGATGACCAGGTGTGGGGACAGGCCGAGTGCTACCATCCTGAGCTTGTGTGCTTTGCCCAGGTCACTGCAGTGACAGGACTTGGGCCCAGATGTTTAAACCCAGAGGACTGGGTGAGTTCCCAGATTGCCCAACAAGAGGAGTCTGCTTAGGAGCTACCTAGAAAGGTCATTTCATGAAAGTTCCCTCTGGAGAATCTCCTCCATGAGACTGGGCTAGCCCAGCCACGCATCTACAGGAACGTCTCTGGAACACATCTCTGAAAGCTTCATCCTTTTTAGAACAAAACTGGGCCTGGAGTCTTCTTCCAAAGGAACCCAAGGACTCTCACTAGCATCGTAAATGAGAAACAGGAGAGGCAGGGATCTGTTGGGACCTCAGGGACCTTCAGACCCAGGACACATGGTGACAAGGCCTGGACTAGCCAATCAGGGTCTTCTCTGAAGACTCCTTACCTCCCGGTGCCGGAGCTGTAAATTCTGGCCTTCATAGTATAAGTTGTAGGTCTTCAGATGCAAAAGAAGTTCATTTCTTAGGAGAAAAATACAAGAGATATAACATTAGCAGCTGAAGCCACTTATTATGCAGTTGTTCCCTCTTTCTCTCACCTCTCACCTGGCCTTCAGTCACCCCACTTTGGGCGTTTGTCCACATGTACATACACACACATGCACACGCACACAGGATACTGCCGCCGCCACCCCATAACCATCTTCCCCCAGGGTCAAAGTCAAGAGTGAGCAACAAGGCTGAATGTAAGGAGCAACTCAGGATACCAAGGTGGACATTGGCGGCAAGACTCCCAAACCCAAGCTGAATGAGCAGGTGTTAATAAGCCACAGATTAACTGAGACAAGCACTTCAGAGCCCGCAAACAGCGATTCTCCTGCCTGGCTGTGGGCTCTTCTCCCTCAAGCACGCTGTGAGTAAGGAAAAGACAATAACGAAAAGCCTTCACAAGACTCAGAAGCTGGCCAGGCGCGGTGGCTCACCCCTGTAATCCCAACACTTTTGGAGGCCGAGGCCGGTGGACCACTTGGTTGGGAGTCCGAGAGCAGCCTGGCCAACATGGTGAACCCCCATCTCTAATAAAAATACAAAAAATTAGCCAGGCGTGGTGGTGCAAGCCTGTATTCCCAGCTACTCAGGAGGCTGAGATGGGAGAATCACCTGAACCTGGGAGGCAGAGGTTGCAATCAGCTGAGATCACACCACTGTACTCCAGACTGGGTGACAGAGTGAGACTCCATCAAAAAAAAATTAAAAAAAAAAAGAAAGAAAGAGAGAAAGAGAGAGAGAGAGAGAGAGAAAGAAAGAAAGAAAGAAAGAAAGAAAGAAAGAAAGAAAGAAAGAAAGAAAGAAAGAGAAAGAAAGAAAGAAAGAAAAAGAAAAGAAAAAAGGAAGGAAAAAAAAGACTCAGAAGCTTCCAGGCTGTTCAGAAGCTAAACAGGACAGGTTTGAGCCACACTAACTTATGCTTCATGGGGATGACCTCATCATGTGTTTAAAAACTTGCCAACTCCCATCAACAGCAGAATGGATGAATAAAGGAAGCAATAGCCACACAACAGAACACTATCAGCGAAGAGAATGTGAATGAACTACATGGCTGGGGGTGACTCTCATGGGAATTATAGGATATGTGCTTTTTCTTAAATCTAGCCTCTTCCACAAAAAAGCAAAAAAAAAAAAAAAAAAGACACAAGAAAAACATGTCATATTCCATTGATATAAAGTTCAAAATAGGGTGTTAGAATTCAGGATAGTGGTTCACCTTGGGGAGTACTGACAAGAAGTGGGCATGAGGCAGCTTCCAGGCCCAGCAATACTTTTTCAGGTCATAAAATTAGGGCAGGGAGCGGTGGCTCATGCCTGTAATCCCAGGACATTGGGAGGCTGAGGTGGGCAGATCACGAGTTCAGGAGATTGAGACCATCCTGGCTAACACAGTGAAACCCCATCTCCACTAAAAATACAAAAAATTAGCCAGGTGTGGTGCCAGGCACCTGTAGTCCCAGATACTCAGGAAGCTGAGGCAGGAGAATCACTTGAACCTGGGAGGCGGAGGTTGCAATGAACTGAGATCAAACCATTGCACTCCAGCCTGGGCGACAGAACCAGACTCCATCTCAAAGAAAAATTAAAAATAAAAATAAAAATAAATAAACCCCTAGAAACTCCCCCTCTGAAGCCTGGTACTGGGCTTCCTTAGCCACCAGGTTTTCCAAGTGGTTGCCGTGGGAGTCTAGCTCTACTGCACATGGCCAGAGAGGAGGTTTCACCTTCTCTGTGATCAGGGAAATCCCTATCAACCCTGAGAATGCATGAGTCAAGTTTCACCTAAAAGTGGATGTTTTCTACTCCATGTGGGATGAGAGGGGAGAGAGGTGGAGGGGGTCAGGGTTGCTGTGTGCCTTTGTTTAGTCTCAGGTAAGAGGTGACAGAGTTCAGCTCCTCTGAACCCAGCCATTCAGTGGAGAGATCTGGGACCATGCCAGGAGTCAAAACCCACTGGAAGGCCAAGAAATTCCTGACGAGTTAAACCTAGATAGATCAGTATGATTCTATGCAAGCTGAAATGAATTTGTGGAAAATGAGATTCCAAATAATCTAAGACAAAAAGCTGTTTGGTACTTTTGAACACACAGATCTGAAACTGGGAGAGAAAATCACTGGTTGGTACAAGTCCCTGGGGATATCTGTCCATAAAGAGATAGGAATGGTCAGATGATACCAAACATGCTCACGCCTGTAGCTTTGGGAGGCTGAGGCAAGTGGATCTTGAGGTCAGAAGATCAAGACCATCTGACTAACACAGTGAAACCTTGTCTCTACTAAAAATATTTAAAAAATAGCTGGATGTGGTGGCAGGTGCCTGTAGTCCCAACTACTTGGGAGGCTGAGGCAGGAGAATCACTTGAACGTGGGAGGCAGAGGTTGCAGTGAGCCGAGATTGTGCCACTGCACTCCAGCCTGGGCAACAGAGTGAGACTCCATCTCAAAAAAAAAAATTGTCAAGTGTGTCTGAGGACTTAAAACAATTTAGTCTCAGATAAATTAAATATTTAATTAAGATAGAGAAATCCTGGCTGGGCGCAGTGGCTCACACCTGCAATCCCAACACTTTGGGAGGCCCAGGCAGGTGGATCACTTGAGGCCGGGCCAACAAGGTGAAACCTTGTCTCTACTAAAAGTACAAAAATTAGCTGGGTGTGGTGGCACAGGCCTATAATCCCAGCTACTCAGGAGGCTGAAGCAGAAGAATCGCTTGAACCCAGAAGGCAGAGGTTACCATGAGCCGAGATGGCGCCACTGTACTCCAGCCTGGGTGACAGAGGGAGACTCCTTCTCAAAAAAAAAAGGAAAAGAAAAATATAGGGAAATCCCTATGCTGGACATAAAAATATGTCCTTGAACTTCCAATTCAAGGGTCTATTTTGGCTCAAGCCTAGTCACGTTAGCAAAAAGCCTGAGCTTAAGAGATTTTAGTGCATAGAAAGCAATTAAATTGTCCCCTTCTATTCAGAGGCACCTGTGCCAATTTTAGCCAGAACCAGAGCAGCCCAGGGACACACTACCCCAGCCAGAACTCCCCGGGAACACCACGGACAGGACAGAGAGCAACGTCTAAGTCCGTTCTGGCTGCCGTACCACACCCTGGGTGGCTTCTAAACAACAGAAATTCAGTTCTCACAGTTCTGTGGCCAGGAAGTCCAAGGTCAAGGTAGAGTCAGTGTCTGATGATAGCCCTCTCCTCACAGACAGTGCCTTCTCACTGCGTCCTCACACCGTGGAAGGAAACACAAGCTCCCTTGGCCTCTTTTATAAGGGTGCTTAGATCTAATCATAGCTCAGAGGTCCCAGCTCTTATACCATCACCTTGCGGTTAAATTTCCACATAGGAATTTGGGGGAGACACAAACATTCAGAAGATAGCGAACAGCCACCAGCCAACTCCTCCTCCTAGAAGCCTTGCAGGACACCACACCTTTTGAGCCCCCAAGTCAAAGGTCTTGACTTCCCATTTACCTCCCCTCCAGGCTGGGCTCTGGGGGCATGTTTTTATCTCTAGCAGCAGCCCTGATGCTCTCACAAGCCCAAGTTCAGCTTGACTCTTTCCCACACACAGGAGCCCTGCCAGTCTGACACACAGGGGAGGCCCCTGCCAGTGGCTGCCATCCACCCCCAACACCCCAGCAGGGACTGGCCACTGGGGACACAACACTCCAGCAAAATGTCTTACTTGGAAATGTATTTATCTTGTCCACATGGGACTAGGGACGTTTGGTGACTGTAATCCATTCTTCCTTTCTCTTTTCATCGGAAGGAGAGGCCTGTATTTGAAAGGAGAAGACAGACATTAAAGTCAGGTTGTGTCCTTGGGAACTCAGCAGATCTTGGGTTGGGGGGGCACGACACTGGACACCATGGTTCTCCATTCCTCCTCACCCAGATCCCAGCTAACACTGACCCAAGGCTATGAGAGGCAACACTGCTGACTGCTTCCTCTGCTGGCCACAGCCTCTGAGAATAAACATCCAGAGGAAAGACAATGCAAGCACAAATGCCCCAGCCACAGAGCACACGGACACCCTTGCTGGTTCCAAGAATGACGGATGAGTCCTCCTCTCTGAAGAGACCGATGCAACACAGAATAGAGACTTATCTCGGGGACAGGCTGATTGTACTGAAGTCTGCTGGGGACGGGTAAACCACCTAAAAATGCCTAATTGCAGCCAAGCGCGAGAAATCACAGCATGTGTCTACAGTTGCCACTAAAATATGACAATGTGAAAGACAATTTAATTATAACAATACATTATAAAAACACAGGTAACAAAGCTGTCAGTCCAATTTTGTTTAAAATCTATGTAAAAACACTTTGGGAGGCCGAGGCGGGTGAATCACGAGGTCAAGAGATCAAGACCATCCTGGTCAACATGGTGAAGCCCTGTCTCTACTAAAAATAAAAAAATTAGCTGGGCATGGTGGCGCATGCCTGTAATCCCAGCTACTCGGGAGGCTGAGGTAGGAGAAGCCTGAACCCAGGAGGCAGAGGTTGCGGTGAGCCGAGATCGCGCCATTGCACTCCAGCCTGGGTAACAAGAACTCAAAAAAAAAAAAAAAAAAATCTATGTAAGTATAAAATATGCAGATACATACACACATTTACATGTATAAATATTCAGATAGGTATAATATGTCAGGATTCTCAACCTTGGCACTATTACCATTTGTTTTGTTTTGTTTTTCTGAGACGGAGTCTCGCTCTCTTCGCCCAGGCTGGAGTGCAGTGATGCAATCTCAGATCACTGCAACCCCCATCTCCTGGGTTCAAGCGATTCTCCTGCCTCAGCCTCCTGAGTAGCTCAGATTACAGGTGCCTATCATCATGCTTGGCTTCACCATGTTGGCCAGGCTAGTCTCGAACTCCTGACGTCAGGTGATCCGCCCGCCTCTGCCTCCCAAAGTGCTGGTGTGAGCCACCATGCCCAGCCACATTATTACCATTTGGAGCTGGCCCATTATTTTTTTAATTTCTATTTGTAGAGATGGGATGACATTTTGTCACCCAAGCTGGGAGTGCAGTGGCATGATCATAGCTCACTGCAGCCTCAAATCCCTGGGCTCCATCGATTCCTCCCCCGCCCACCATCTCAGCCTCCCGAGTAGCTGGGACTACAGGTGTGCCCCACCACCCCTGGCCTTGGACTGTTCTTTGTTGTGGGGCTGTCTTGTGCGTTGCAATTGTTCAGCAGCAAGCAGCATCACTCCAGCAATGATGACCAAAACGTTGCCAGACACTACTAAGCGTCCCTGGGGCAAAGTCACATTATTCACAATAGCCAAAAGGTGGAAGCAACCCAAGTGTCCTCTGATGGGCAACATGGAGTATGCATCCAATGGAATATTATTCAGCCTTCAAAAGGAAGGAAATTCTGACACACGGCAGAACATGGGTAAATCCTGAAGACATTATGACAGGCCACACCCAAAAGGAAAAATACTGTATGATTCCACTTTTATGAGACACCTAGAGTAGTCAGAATCAGAGACTGATTTTGTAGAATTGCAGTTCTTCAAAAAGTGGAATGGTGGTTGCCAGGGGCTGGGAGGAAGGGGAAATGGAGAGTTGCTTAATGGGTACAGAGTGTGCAAGATGAAGAGAGTTCTGGAGATAGAAGGCAGGATGGTTACACAACACTGAAGGTACTTATTGCCACTAAACTGTACACTTAAAAATGGTTAAGATGGTAAACTTGAGGTGTATTTTACCATTATGTGTGTGTGTGTGTGTGTGTGTGTGTGTGTGTGTGTGTATTTTTGAGACAGGGACTCACTCTGTCACCCAGGCTGGAGTGCAGTGGTGTAATCTCAGCTCACTACAGCCTCGACCTCCCCAGGCTCAGGTGATCCTCCCACCTCAGCCTCCCAAGTAGCTAGAACTAAAGGCAGGTGCCACTATGCTCAGCTAGTTTTTTCCATTTTTAGTAGAGATGGGGTTTCGATTAAAGGAAGACTCAAGGAATCTGCTTGCCTGGGCCTCCCAAACCGCTGGTATTACAGGTGTGAGCCACCACACCCAGCCCACAATATATTTTTTAAGTGGAAGAGGAAGACACAGATGCCAGTATTATAGTGACACAATGTGTGAAGGATTGGGCCTCCTGGAAGAAGGATCCATCACCCAAGGGATATAAACAGCCTCTAGAAGCTGGAAAAGCAAGAAAACGGACTTGCCCTAGAGTCTCCAGAAAAGAACACATCCCTGTTGATACTGTGATGTTAGCCCAGTGAGATTCACGTCAGACCTTTGATCTACAAAACTGTGAGATTATCAATTAGTGTTGGCCAGGCATGGTGGCTCATGCCTATAATTGCAACTTTGTGAAGCCGAAGCAGGAGAATCACTCGAGGCCAGGAGTTCGAGACCAGCCTGGGCAACAGCAGTAGACTCCTGTCTCTACAAAAAAAAAAAAAAAATTTAAGTTAGCTGGATGTGATGGCAAGCATCTGTAGTCCTAGCTACTTGGGAGTCTAAGGTAGGAGGATTGCTTGAGCCCAGGAGCTCAGGGTTGCAGTGAGCTATGATCATACTGCTGCACTCCAGCCTGGGCTACAGAATAAGACCTTGTCTCTAAAAAAAATAATAAAATAGCCGGGCATGGTCCTCACGCCTGTAATCCCAGCACTTTAGGCGGCCGACGTGGGTGGATCACCTGAGGTCAGGAGTTCAAAACCACCCTGATTAACAAGGTGAAACCCCATCTCTTATTTAAAAAATAAAAAAAGAAAAAAAGAAAGAATAATAAAATAAGGCCAGGCACAGTGGCTCACACTTGTAATTGCAGCACTTTGGGAAGCTGAGGAGGAAGGATCACTTGAGCACAGGAGTTCAAGACCAGCCTGTGCAACACAGGGAGATCTCTTCGCTACAAAAAATAAAAGATTAGCCAGATGTGGTAGCATGTACCTCTGGTCCCAGCTACTAGGGAGGCTGAGGCAGGAGGATAAATTGGGCCCAGGAATTCAAGGCTGCAGTGAGCCACAATCATGCCACCGCACTCTATCCTGGTTGAAAGAGTGAGAGCATCTCTTAATTCATTAAATAAAATAATAAAATAAAAATAAATTCATGTTGTTTTCAGTCACTAAGTTTTGGTAGCTTGTTACTGCAAGTGACCATGGGCTGATTCCATTCAGGAAACTGAGACCCTACCAGTGTACCCAAAGTGGTACCCTGAGAACACAATTGGTCTCTCTAAATTTTAAATTTTATTTTATTTTTTTACTTGTCCAAAAAGGAAGAATAATCTGATCATGAAAACCGGAGTACACATGTAATGCAGAAAAAGAAAAAAGGGAAGTCAGGCTAGTGAGAAAGCTTTTCTTGAAGTGATAATTCCCCATAACTAGGGAGTGCCCCTTTTTCTAAAAAGGTGCCCCTTCCACACATGTGTAAATTGACACATTCAACAAGCATTTATTGTGTGTCTACAATGTATTAAGCATCGTGCTTCATGATGGTGGCTCAGCAGCCAAGGAAACAAGGTATGTGGAGGAGGGGAATGCGTGGGGGCAGAGGGCTCTGTCAAGGGAGGGTGAGTGCTATGGTAGCCAACAGGAAGGAGGCCTATGGGTGAGCACGGGGTCCTGGGGGGCTTTCTAGAGGAGGAGACCTCTAAAAGTAAACTTCAGTGTTGGCAAAGATGAGGGGTGAATGGGTCCAGGCAGAAAGCACAGGCATCTCAGAACTGCGCGAGACAGAGTGGCACCAGCAGAACCCAGGCCTGGTGAGGAGTCTGGACTTCAGCTGGTGGGCAGTGCTGGGCCATGTGAATGTGGAGGATGAAGAATGCCCCCAGAGATACCCAGGTGCGGACCCTGGAACCTGTGAATATCACCTTACATGGAAACAGGGAGTCTGTGGATGTGATTAAATGAAGAATCTTGACATGAAGAGACTATCCTGGATTATCTAGGGGGCCCTAAATGGAACCACTGGTGTTCTTATAGGGGGGAGGCTCTGCTGCACATAGCAGAGAGGAGGCGACAGGACAGCTGCAGCAGAGGCAGGAACGTGCAGACGTCGCATTGTGGACAAAGGCGGAGGAGGGGGCCACGAACCCAGAAGGCAGCTCACAAGCTGGGAAATGCAAGGACATGGATTTGCCCCAGAGCCCCCAGTGCAAGCAGAACCCTACCAACACCTTAGTTCTGGCCCAGAGAAACTGGCTTAGAAACCTGGACTCCAGAATGTGAATATTAAATTTTTGTTGTTTTAAACCACCAAGACCAGCTGGGCGCGGTGGCTCATGCCTGTAATCCCAGCACTTTGGGAGGCCGAGGCAGACGAATCACAAGGTCAGGAGGATATCAAGACCATCCTGGCCAACTTGGTGAAGCCCCATCTCTACTAAAAATACAAAAATCAGCTGGGCATGGTGACAGGCGCCTGTAGTCCCAGCTACTCAGGAGGCTGAGGCAGGAGAATTGCTTGAACCTGGAAGGTGGAGGTTGCGGTGAGCCAAGATCACACCACTGCACTCCAGCCTGGGCAACAGAGTGAGATTCCATCTCAAAAAATAAATAAAGAAACCACCAAAACCGTAGTCATTTTTTTCAGCAGCAAGAAGAAAACAAGGGGAATTCCAAGGGGAGGGATATGATCTGATACATATTTTTGAAAGGTCACCCACCCAATGCCTTGCTTTGTGGACAAATAATCTGGGAGAAGAGTGGCCAGGGAACCAGTTGAGAGGCCAGAGGCTGAGTTAGAGAGACAGAGTCTAGAGAGTTCGAAGAGGTAGAGGAAAGTCGTGATGAGTTAATG